GGTCATGGAGGTCAGGACCGCAGCCCCAGAGCTGAGCTGAGCTGCCTGAGAGCCTGTTGCAGGGTCCTTCAGGGTCACCCCTCATCTGGCCTCCACCTGTCGCCTCCCTAACTCTCCAGTGTCTGCCAGGCTGAAGCTGGGTGCCATGGTCCCCAGTTCTAAACAGGATCTCTTCCCAAGCCCTGTCGCTCCACCGCCAACCACAAAAGTGTGCCCAGTCTGGGAAGCTCTGTCTGCCACCAGAGCCAGGGAAGGGGCTCCAAGGCTGAGCTCAGGTTTCTTCAAAGGCTGGGTCACTGCACCCCTGACTCTCCCAGTCCAACCCTGAGTCAGCCCTGCCTTCCCAAGGCCCTCAATAGAGGCTGCCAGGGCCCCGGACCAAGGCCCGGGCCTGATCCATCTTCCCAGCTAGGGATGTCCCACGACAACAGGACAGGGCTGGGGGATGGCTTTTACCTCTGATCCCCCTAGCCAGGCCAGGACTGGGTCATTGCTGCCCCCAAGGCCCTGCTGAATCGCATGCAGCTCAGAGCTCAGCTGCCCAGGGCCTTGGATCAGCAGGGAGGCGATTAATCTCTCCAGCAGCAGCCTGCTGCCGGGGAGTGAGGAGGGGCCGGAAGATGGCCCAGGAGGGACTCCATACCCTCCGCTGCCCTGGGCCCCTCTTCAGCACAGCCCCCCATTCTGCCTTCCAGCCTCATCTGCCCAGGGAGCCCCCTCCCTTTGACAGTGATAGGACCAGTGGAGATGCTCAGGGTTTGTTTTTGGGGGTGCCTTCTTCTTGCTCAGCTGGGGAGAGTTTGAGATTCTTGGGGGATCTTCCCCAAGACCCCAAAGTTTAGAAAAATAGGAGGCCTGTGCCAGGGGTACCCTCCCTCTGGAAGAGAGATCAGCACCTGTAGGAACTGGGGCTCATCCAGGCCCAGCCTCCAGTTCTTCTCATGGGGAAACCAAATAGACGAAAGGGCCCTGCCCCAGGCCACCGGGCTGGGGGTGCCCGTCAGAACTGGAGAAGGGATCTCCTGCTCCCACCCGCCACCCCCACCCCAGGCTCTTTCTCTGCCCTCATCACCCACATGTATGAGCCCCCATCCATGAGGGGATGCAGAGAAGGGTGAGACTGGGCAGTAGACGGGTGTGGGGCTGATGGGCCATCAGTTCACACTCCTGCCCTGCCCTGGACCTGTGCCCTCTCCCCTTCTGCATGATGCCCTGAGGAAAGGCCAGGGCAGGGCAGGCTCAGAGGAAGACCCTGTGGCCCCAGCGTCCAAGGCCAGTGCATGCCTTTGGGGTCCAGAAAACACTCTCTGGAGGTTAGAGGGAGGTGCGGTAAGGACACTGCTGGGCAGGGTGGAGCGGCCTGCCCCTCTCGCAGACTGAGAAGCAGGTCAAGTGTTCCTGGGCCCTCCGAGTCTCCACTCCGCATCTGCTCCCCTGCCTGCCACTCTCCTCAGGTCCCACCCTCTGCCCTGCCCACCTATGAGGCCAGAGACTTTCAGTCGGGCTCTACGTTAAGTTCACCTGGGGAGGTTTAAAAACCACCAGGGCCCCACCAATTAAGCCAGACTCTGCAGCTGGCGTTGTGAAGCATCGTGCAGGTAGCCAACCTCTTTCCCTTGCCACCACCACCTGTCTCTGCCTGATGTCTCTGCCCCTCAGGTCCTGCTCTTGACGTGGATTAACTCGGACTATGGAGTTAGAGGCTTCACGCTCCCAAGCACTGGGGCAGGTGTCCAGATCACCTATGGCCTCTGCTTTCCAGAACAGTGAGGGCTCAAGACCCCCATAACCAAGAATGACCCCCAGGTAGGGCGGGATGCCCCTGGGGGTGTGTGCAAGTGGAAGCAGGAACCAGGCCTCCTGGCCGACCACTCAGGAGCCCCCTCCTCAGGCAAAGGGCCCCCCAGCCCTTGGCAGGACTGGGTTGAAAACCAAAGTTCGCAGATTCCTAGTAGGACACATGCTCCCTCTGGTGGTGATAGTGGGAGCATTGCCTCAGACTAAGGCTGCTTTTGTTGCTGCTGTGAAGGAGAGAAATTGATGAAATCACCTCTCTGGCTTCAGTGTACTTTTTGATTCAATTTGTATATGAATCGTGGAAAATCCAAAGTGAAACGAAAGTTTAGTAGCTCCCAGTCCATGGAAATGGAAGGGAAAGTGATGAGAAGGGCCCAGACCAGGGGCAGGTCACCGACGTCAGAACGCCACCAGGTCCGTGGCTCTGAGCACTGGCTGCTCCCGAGTCCCCTGGGAGCTTAATACGCATCGGCTTAGGGAGCCCCCCTGAGGCTGACCGCACTAGGTCTGGAGGGGATGCCGGCCATCTGGTGGATTGGACGGCACCCCAGGTCCTCTGGGCAGACAGCCTGGCCCGATGAAGCCTTGTGTCTCATGGGACCGAGGGCTTGCAGCAGGGCAGGGAGGGCCCGTTTCCCTGCAGAGCAGCTGCCAGCCCTCTGCGCTGGCAGACTCAGAGCCTGTGTACAAAGCTTTCTCCTCGCAGCTGCTCTCACTTGTCCCCGGGGCCACAGGCCAGGGTGCTCCTCTTCCCGTCCGCATTGCTGCTACATCCGGGGAGCTCCCGGAGCCCCCAAAAGCCCCTGGGTGGCCCTGCCCTGCCCTGCCCTGCTCATGCCTCCTACTGGCACGGGCAGCCCATGCATGTGCCCCACCTTGTGTATGAAAATGCCGAGTCATATCTTGGGGTTGCCCGTCACGTTTTGATGTGTCACCGGCAAGCCCACATTCAGAGCACATTCTGAAAAGTGAGGCGTCTCTTTTCTCTTGCAGGCCTTCTGTGCCTGAGCCCCCTGGGGCTCTGTGCGGCTGGCGGTCTTCAGGACCAGGGGCAGCGGGGTAAGACATGGAGCTTGAATCTTGAGAGGAATGGTGGCTAACCCTGCCTCTGCTCCCCAAACGCACCCGGTTCAGATTAAACTCCACTAACTTGCTGCTGTCTTGGGTTCCCTGCCATTTCTCCCCTTTCCGCCCCGCCTCAGAGGCTGCAGACCCAAGTGAGGAAACTGGACACTAGGTGGTGCCATGATCCCACAGTCCATGCAGCCTCCCAGCCTCGGTGGGGAAAAGCGGAGAGGGAGAGGGGGGGAAGCCTGCTCTACTGCAGGGGCACAGGCACTGGGAAGTCGGACACTGGTGGGAGGGCCGGCCTGACACCACCTCACGCTGAAGCTGTCCTGGGTGGGCCCGCGGAATGGACAGGGGCTGCAGGAGGTGGTCACAAGGGCCCACCCTCACTACCTGCTCCCCACCCCCTAGTCCTGGGATTAACCAAGCCAGCACATGGCTACGTGGATGGGAGTAGGTCTAGATGAGGCCTCTGGCAGCAAGAGTAGAAAGGGGATGGCCTGAGCTTAGCACCAGGGTGGGGAGTTAGGTGGGAGAGAGCATTGCTGAGGCCCGCACCAGGCCCCCCAGAGCACCCATCCTGGCATGCATTTGGGGAGATCGCCACCCAATGTGGCTGCCAACTGCTACCCTTTGGGCAGCCCAGGCCTGTCCACAGCAACTTCCAGTGGAGCAGCTCCAACAGGGGCACAGAGCCTGGCCAGATACCCAAGCAGCACCCAACAGACCCAATGGTGTTGAACCTGTGGCATTCGGCCTCCTGGATTTCTCTCTGCCTGGCATTTGAAAGATGGGCTGACTCCCCTGCCCAGGGGTTCTTGGTAATTCAGGGGTGAGGAGAGGCCCACTTGCTTTAATAGGCATGGGTGTCTGGGCAATTAATGGAAAGGCAGAGACCAGGCTGTACTGCACTGTAACCTAGAGGAGGAAGTCCTGGCAGTTAAAGGAGAGGAAGGAATTGGGGCGGGATGCCATCTTCGAGCTCAGCTTTATTATTAGAAAGGGGTGGCATGGGGTGGCAGGCAGCGATACCCATCCAGGGGTCCCATGAAGCCTGGTGCTTCCATCAGCCCAAGGTCCTGGCAGGGCTGGGGACAGAGTTTGCAGCTCAGGGAAGGCTCCTCAGCGGTCGCCAGTGCAGTTGTGGCACAGCTGGCCCTGAAAAAACAAGGGAGGGTGTAGCTGTGATAGGGCGGGGGAGGGCTTCTCCTGTCATTCCTCATTTATCTTACCTTTCTCTGGGGTGCCTCTGTAGCGCCCCTTGGCTGCACATTCCAAGCCAGGCACTTGCCATCATTTTAAAACACACGATGGGTGACACTGCCTGGGTGGTAAATGGAAGACCCTGGCTGCACCCACCAGACTCTCCCAAGCGTACCTGTCATTACAGCTCGTCCTCGCTGCCGGGCCTGGGATGGAGAAGGAGAGACCGGTAAGAGGCCAGCAAGGAAGGGGTAAGTCTAGGGTCCCTGAGGCTGGGGAGCCCCACTACGGGCGCGGAGCCCAGCATTCTCGCCTGCCCTCCTTCCCCCGCCCCACCCGCCTCCATCTGTTACCCCAGGTGGGCACTCACCGGTGCTTCTTTTTCCCCCCACAGCGGAGTCTTTTGCCTTGAAAAGAAAAGAGATCAGTTTTCATTGGCCTCTCACTTCCAAGGAGACCTCCTTCCCTGGAGGACAGCTTTGAACCCTTTCCCCCCTCCTCCCTGCAGCACATGCAGGTCCTGGAGTGCGGCCTGGAGGCCATGGTTGACTGTCTCTCTTACATAGGGCCAGCTGAGCCCAGGCCAGTCCATCAGTCAGTCGGTCAGCAAGCATTGCCTCAGTGGGTCCTCAGTGGACTGCAAGCACATGAAACAGTGGCCAAGCCTGGGCCGCTGCGACGCTCTCAGCACTGTGCTGGGCACATCGTAGCTACTCAATACGCTCTTAGAGACAGATGGCAGCAAGTCCAAGGTTGCCGCTCAGGCCGTCTGCCTCTGCCTCTGTGTGCTCAGCCACTACACAGTGCTGCTCTCAAGGAGCTTCCAGGAGAACTGGGGGAACCAGCCGTGTCTGCAGACAAAGCCTTAAGCTGGAGTGGCATTGACCGTGGATGTGTTAGAATCCTGGACACAGAGGAGTACTTGCTACATCCTGTGTCTTTTTTTCGCTCATTGTATTTCTGTGTATTTTTCTTCTGGTTGCCCCAAAACAAGTCAGTAAGTATTTGTTGCCCTTCTTGTCTCTGCCATATGCCTACTGGGGCTGGGGATACACAAGGGCCCTTCTGTGCCCTAGAACACGCTGTGCCAATGTTGGATCCTTCCAAGCGCTTTCTTGGCTGCCACACCTTTGGATGCTAGCTCAACCTTGAGGCAGGTGGGGTTACCCTATTTAACAGGTGAGCAAACTTTGGCCCAGGGAGTTGGGTTCCACATAAAACTCGTAGGGGGCCCAGGACCTCTGGCTCTCAGCCACACTTGCTTCCAGCAGCAGGTGGGGAGTGAGTGCAGGGCAGACACCCTAGGTTCAGCTAGACCAGCTCTGCTTCTGACACTGTGAACCATGGGCAAGTTGCTGCACCAATCAGGGTGGCTCTAATTTCTCATCTGGAAGGTGGTGACCACTGTGGCCACCCCTCAGTGCTGCTGAGAAGATTAAATGGGCTGGATGTAGCTCAAGCCAAGAACATGCCAGATCCAAGGATGTGGGGTGTCCAATAGAGGTTAATTCCTTCCCCTTACCTGCCCCACCCCCCTTGAGACTGGACCTTCCCAGGGTCCCAGGGAGCCAGCCCCCCATCTTGGCAGCTCCTTCTGGGCCCACTAGAGGGTGCACTGGAAAAAGATGGAACCTCCTCTGTGTGGTCCAAGAACCAAGCAGGGAAACACCCTGAGCTGCCTCGCTCCATCCAGTGTCCCTCAGTTCCCACATCTGGAATGGGGAGGGGAGGGGAGCAGATCTGGAGAGGATGAGGGCTCCCCTCCACCCCCACCTGGGAAGCAGGGGCTCAGTGCTTCGAGAAGGGTGCGCCCCTTCCCGTTCCAACACGAGGCTGTCCCCACTTACTGAGTATTATGATGAGCCCCACCACGAAGGCCAGGCCAGCAAAGATCAGGCCCCCATTGCGGACAGTCTCATAGTCTGGGGATGCAAAGGGCAAGGAGGGGAGGGGTTACCAGGCACCCCTCCCCGCAGCCCACACCGCAGCAGCCCCTCGGAAACCGGAAAGAAGGGCTGATATAGCCCAGGGTGGGGAGAGGCTGGGAACCAATTGTGGGAGCAGGGGGCAGGCTCAGGAAAGGCAGGAGGGGCTGCCAGGCTTACCATAGTAGAATGGGTCCATATCCCCCTTGGGGCTGCCACCTGAAGAGACAGGGTGAGCGACGGGTCACAGACAGTGAGGTGCTCCAGCCACAGAAGCAAGAGCCCTGTCCTTCTCGGCCCAGGACTCCCAGGGCAAGAGTGGGCTAGTGAAGGGGGGCCCTTGGCAGGGGAGGCCGGGGCATCTCCAACCCCAGGGGCAGCAGGGGCCTCTGCCCGAGGCTGCTTCACACAGTCAACTTGGGACCAAATACTGAGCACCCAAAGCAGGAGCCACAAGCCTGGGGGCCTCTGCCACTCTAGGGGTCGGGTTTTTCCTCTCCCTGCTTTATACAAGGGTAGGAAAAGGCCAAGAAAGATGCCGCACGTTGGACCCCACCCCACCCCCCTCTCCAAGTAAGACCAACCAACTGCAGGGGGCTTCACAACGCCTGGGAGGTGAGTGGATGGAGGAGGGGAGGAAACTGAAGCCCAGTTTGGAGACTTGTCCCAAATCCCAGGGAAACTTGGAGGTAGAACTGGTCTTGAACCAGGTTTCCAGATTCTTCTCTCCTGTTGCTATCCTCTGGGGGAAGCAGGTTTACTTAAGAGATGTTAGTATGCGGTGCCTGCCACATGCCCGGCTAAGGCAAGCAGGCTCTGGCTGTTTCCCATCAGAGCAGCCTTGCGAGGCACTGATGTTGCTCTGGGCACATGGAGGCATCGAGAGGCTGAGTAGCTCACTAAGTCACACTAGTAAAGGATAGACTTGAGATTTGAACCCAGAAAGTGGGTTGCTAAGAATCTAGGTTTTTAACCCTTGCTATGCTGCCTCTCAGATAGTCAGAAGAAAGGAGCCGTTTAAGGCCAAGTCATCTGGTCCAGCCCCCTGCCTCCTGCGGCGTTTCCCACCCAGGAACTGCTCAGCAGCCAGCCGAAGCTGCCGCTCCCCCTTCCAGCCCTGAAAACTGAGCCCACTTGCCCTTGGGAAGCTGGGGAGCAGCCTGGCCAGAGCTTTCCTGCTATGACTGAGGGAGCCCCGTCTTTCCTGCTTTGTTTGAGCCCCTTCTTGGCACTCGGGAAGCAGTGCCCAAAGTCGAAGGAGAGTGCACGCTGGTACCTCCCAGGCTGTGCTGACCTGTGCCCTGGGCAGCGGGAGGCCGCGGGCTGGCGAGCCCAGCTGTCCCAGCAGCACGCTCCCTAGGCCAGATGTGAGCCGGCTGGGAGGGGTCAGCATGGGCCTGAATGCAAGAGGCCAAGGGGGGGCTATGGGGGCCCAAGCGCCAGTTTCTGTACCGGCCTTCAAGGTCGTCTGAGTTCAGGTCCTGTTCAAGGTCACCTGGGGAGTTAGGATCAGAGCCATGCATAGACTCAGGGCTTCCTCACCGCACCAGGAAACCGTCTCTTCCCTGACCAGTCATCTGGAGCTGCCTGCTGAGGCCCCCCAACCCCTCATCTTTTTAGATCTGGCTCAAAGCCCACCACAGTCAACCCTGTTGGCTTCCAGGCCCCTCTGGGGCTGTGCCTTGACTTGGGGGCTCTCACCTCAAAGCCCTGAGAGGCTGCCCAGGGGAGCTTGCTGCCACACCTGCCTCCTGCTCTGAGCTGAGTTCAGAAAACGGGGAGCCAGGACAGGCGCGTGTCCCCGTCTCGAACCGGTGCCCCAGGTTCTGCCATTCAAGCTCTGTTTCTTTGGTGTTAAGGCAGGATCCTCTTTTAAAAGCAAACTTTTTTAGACAGGAGACTGGCCCAGGGTGAGGGAAGGTGCTTGTAGTCTTGAAGGCAGAGGCTCCAGGAGACCTGAGAATGCGACCCAGCTCGCCCTGAAAGGTGGGCCAGCAGAGGCCGCCTGCACCTCGGGCTCGGCGCACGTCTGCCCACACTCACCGCCCGCGGACAGCCCTGCCATTCCCCGGAGCCTGGGCTCGAGGCGCTGCTTCCTCCTGCCTGTGCTTCGGGGAGATTGCCTGGCCCCGGGGGGGACAGGGATGGGGGGGGCATTAAACATTAACAGTGCCAGCTAATGTTTACCTTGCTCACAGAAAAGCCCTGGCGTGGGCAGAGGGGCTCTGCTGGGGCGTGGCGAGGCGCGGGCAGGCGGGGCAGGCGGGAGCCGGCCGGGCTTCCAAACCCTTCCATAGGAAATTTCCAGAGGAGGGCCAGAGAGGGCTGGCCCAGGTGCCCCCCACCAGCCGGGAGCCTGGCGCTGGGGCAGTGGGAAGCGGGAATCCCAAGCTATATTCAGCGTATACTGCAACCCGGGGCCGCAGCCGGGGCCGCGGAGGCCCCGACCCTAGTGCTGTGCCCCAGCCAGCCAGTGCGGAGAGCGCTGCTTCGGCTGGAGTTTTACTTGGTGCTCAAGGCTGCCCTGGGCTGGTCCCAAGGTGCCTGGCCTCCTCCCACCTCAAGGCCCACCCTGCACCCTCCAGGCAAGGTCACACCCCGGCCTCTGCTGCCTTCCTCTCTTATCTTCTCCATCCATCGGCTGCACCCAGCAGCTCACACCTCACCAGAAAAGCTCAGCCATCCCTAACTAATCTCTCTTCCCTGCCGCTTCTCTTTCATAACCACAGAAGGGCCTAGGAGCAGTTCAGCAGGGCTCTCTAGGTGCGCATCCAGGTTCCAAGGATCCTTCAAGAAGGGGCCACGCCTTACCACAGGAGAGTGCGTGCTTTTACAATTTACCAAGCATGACCCTGACCGGTATTTCTTGAGCTTTGTCTTGTTTCCCCATTTTACAGTTGAGCCGTCCATGGCAGAGAGGGCAGAGCTCTGTCTCAGATCACACAGCCAGTGAGGGGCGAGGTGGAGACTGAGAGCCAGGCCAGGGGCTGTTGGAGTCAGGGGCTTTCCCATGCCTCTGACACCCCCTCCCTGCTCCGCTGTGGCCTCCTTTACCTCAGGGACTCTGGTGCTGGGTACCCTGTAGGTGCTCAGATTCCTGGCTGAGTTCTAGTCAATTGAATTGACCTCCAAAAAAAGCTGGTGCTCAATAGTACCCAAGGTCAGGGGTCAGTGTCCACTGGGGGCCAGTTCGTCGTTCCAGAGGGAATGAATCCAGCTATTAATCCTCCTATTGACCCTCCTTGAGCAGTGGTGGGACCGCTTCCTGGCCCCTCCTCTTGCTAAGTAGATGCCTCTGCCAGGTGACTTAAATCCTCTGTGCCCCAGTCTCCGGGTCTGTAAAGCGAGGCTGGTGCACAGTAAGTGTCATCGTTGTTACTGTAGCCTGGCACTCATTGCCTGGAGAAATCATCTGCTCTGACTTTTGTTGAATGTTAGCTGCTGGACACAGCATAGCCAGTCACCTTCCCATGAAGATGAGGTGGAGAGACAATGTCACAGCCCTGTAGCCCAGGAGCGATGACACCCACTCACTCTCCTCTGCTTTCAGGGCCAAATGGACTTGGTCACATGTCACACTCTACACATACTGTCCCACTGAGTCCAGGTTTGTTCCTACAGATAAACAAACTGAGGCTGATCCTTTGCTCCCCAAAACGACCCCTGGAGGTGTCCCAGGATTGCCATGATCCCCACTGGGCGCCCAAAAAACTGGGTGCAAGGAAGTTGAAGGACTTGTCCAAAATACTCAGTTGGTGACAAAACAGGGGCACCTGAGGCCCTGCTTCCGAAGCCACTGCTGCTCTCCACCCAAGGCACTGCTGTCCTCTAGCGCACCTTCTCCTGGCATCTCAGTGTATTTTGTCTATCTTTGTAAGCAGTCATGGATTCTTTCTGGAATAATAGGGGATATAAAAACAGGTGGAAAGATAGATAAACGGATGGATGGATAGACAATAGATTGGATAGATGATAGATAGATAGATGATAGATAGATAGAT